AATGTTCAAAAAATCGCTAGGCACCCGATTTTATTTCTTTTTCTTTAACATTAATTTCTTAATATTGGCTTCTTTTTTTTTTTTTTTTGAAAACTCTTAATATTGGATTGATTTGGTTCTTAACTGGAGAAAGTTTGTGCCTTTTTTTCTTTTTCTTTTTTCTCCTTTTTGTAAATGTAAAGTTTGTTTCAGTCAAAACAAAACATCTCCAACCACTCCAATTCTTATTCTTATAATAACAATAATATAAAAGGATGGCAGGCAAAAAGCTTTCGAAGAAAAAAATAAAGCAAAAAGTGAAACAAATAAAAAAAAATAAAGAATTTATCTGAGGCGGCGACCGGTGGGCGGTGGCGGAGGCGAGGCAGCGGCCGCCGGCTGGCATCTGGGCAGAGTGGTGGAGGCTTGGGTTGTGTCTGGTGGAGCGAAGGCGGAGAGATGTGGGCGTGGACGGCGTTTGATCTCGTCTCGCACTGTTGCTGATTTATTTTTTTAAAAAGGTTATTCGTCAAAACGACATCGTTTTGACAAATAACCCTTTAAAAAACAGGGTTGAGACCGAATCAGTCGGCTCAGCGGTCTAGGCACCGCCTAGCCGTGGAAGAAGCTGAATTCGACATTCTTCAATGCGGCCAGGTGCCGCCTAGTGCCTAGGTGCAACTTTTTGCAATATTGGTTGGAACAGAATCATAGCATGGACCAAAACATTAAATTTGTTCATTTTAGATTCACTTTAAAATTTCTATCATTTTTTACTTTATGACCTTCTAGAATATAATAATTTTTCTCAGATACAATTCAAGATCTTTTACATCAATTTGAAGAAGATATTATTATTAGTAGTAATTCAGCTGTGTAATGCACAGTTTATAACATATTTATATGATGTATATACTACTTTAAAATTTGTAAATATTATATAATATTATGCTTTTGATTATATATCTATATATAAACAGAAGAAGTTATTTTATTGAGCTGCATCAAAAGAAAATTTTCTAATAATGAGATTTAGAATTAGAATGCATAATTGGCTTGAAAACAATTAAATCACAAATTTTAAAATACTTTCTTATATACAACGTAACATTTGTTGTTGAGTTCTCTTGGTCATTGTTTTTATCACACACCAAAATTTTTAAACTCTTACGACTTGTAACTCCAGAAACAACAACATATAATTGACCATAACTGAACACTGGCTTCTTTAAAACTACAGACAACATGTGATAGTGATTGATCTTGACTTTGGTTGGGTGTCATTGAATATGAGACAACTAAAGGAAATTGTCTTTTTTTGAAACTTGAAAGGTAATATTGAATCTAATGGAGTTAGTGACATTCTTAGAGACACATAGGGTGTGTTTGGTTCGCACATGGGAATCAGAATCGGAATAAAAATCAAATACTTGGTAATGGTATGGGTTTTGGTGAAAGTATTTTGTAAGTTTGGTAGTAGGATGAAATTTGAATGATTACCAATATTGATGTTTGGTTATGTATGACCTTATAATGGGAATAAATGTTTAAAAAAAAAAAAAAAACAAAAAATCAAGGCAATTGATCCTAATATAATAACATTCAAAACACCTTTATGAACAAAAAAAAAAAAATCAAAACAAAAATCTAAAAGCACTAATCCAAAACTTAAAAATTTTATTACCAATAAGATGGAATGATACATTTTTTAATTAGGAAATGATGTTTTTAATTGAATGGGTAATCAAATCTTATAGTTATGTTTTAAAAAGTTGTCAACCAAACACTAACTATGATTTTGATTCGCATTCCTAGTGTGTAAACCCATGAATCAAACATACTCATAATCAATTAACTACAGACACATAATATGTAAATTATAATAAAAGCATAATTTATTAATTAAAAGTATATAATATATTAACTTTAGACACATAATTTAAATGTCATTTTAAATTTTGATTTACAAGGCAAGGTAGACATCGGTCCATGATATAACAATTGATTTTACGACGTGTTTGTTTGGTATATTGCTACATCAGTCCATTTGTAAGCCACCTGAGATTTAGGACATCATTTTCAAGTCTATGTGTTTGGGCTTTTCCTTAATATCTGCAACATATCTTTTTTGGGCTAATCCACCTATACTTTATTTTTTAAATATGTTGTCTCAAATTTTCGACTGTTGTTGGGCTAGATCTAGGTCCTTGCCCAAAATATTGATAAGAAGATGGGCAAACTTTGTTTTGTTTTGTTTTGTTTTGTTTTGGTCTTGTCAAAAAATTATGTATAAATAAGCAAATATATGTGTGTCTGTGTCCGTGCACGAATACATTTGGACTGATTATGAGATATTTGATAAAATTAACTTAAAAGAATAATTTCTTTTTATACAATGTAAAAAAAAAAAAAACATAAATTGGAGACCGGTAGGATCTCGCGGGTTCACAAAATATTTATTTTTGAATTTATAATTTTAAAATAGTTACATCCCAATATTTGAACCCAAGACTTCAAATTAAATTTAAAGAAAATTGTGTCATTTAATTTACACTCTTATAAGGTTTTAATTTAAATGGAAGAAACTGAATCATTTAAGTATGAGGTTGTGTATTAACTTATTTTACATACCTTTTTTCCTCTTTGTCAGTTTATGTCACACGACAAAATGTGAAACCAAAATGGCTTCAGCGGCAAAAGTAGTTAAAAGCATTGAACAATGTGCACCTGTACCATTCTTAACAGACACCCGGACAACTTGTTCGCCACATTGTCTACTACTTCGTACTTTACTAGAAATTTAGCACTAATTTGTTTTTTTTTTTTTTAATTAATCACGTTTTTTAAATTTTATCGAACTATATTCTGAAGGAAGTAAGTGCGTAAATATGTTCAACATTGAAATACACACCTAATTATACAATTTGTGCACGCCCAACACCAACCTTAGCCTAATTTAAAAAGCGCAACTCCAAATTATCTATAATACAACTCAGCTCCTACCTTACCGCTGAAAACAAATTTAAAGTGTAACATCCCAATTAACCACTAATTCGTATTGTCCTGCGACAAGTACTTATTTGTTTTCTTTGGTAAAATTAATTCGAAATCAAGAATACCAAATAAGCAAGAGTAATTTATTGGGCCCTAAGTAAAGGCAAAAGCATGAAAGCACATCTTGGGGCATGTGATTTAGGTGATCAAAAAATAAAAATGGAGCATGCCATACCAACAAGGCTCTAAAAATGAGTGCTTTTTCAGTTTTTTGAACCCTGAAAATATGCTTTGATGCTCTTTTAGCGACAGGGTTCAAGCAACGTTTGTCACTACGAACGTAAGCCAATGCTTTCGGTAGATAAAAAAACAGTATAGTAATCTTTGTTTGGATTAATTTCGACTTTTAATGGGAGGGTATACAACAATTAACAAATGACTTTATGATGCATGCAGTTTTTATTGCCTTTATTTTAAGTGCTTTTGGTTTTTGGACATACATAAAAGGATAGTAGTAAGTATACCAATATTCTTGTGCACTAATGGATTCCATATTTCCTTATAATAATATAATACAACACATAAGAAATGTCTTTTATTAAATATAAAAAATATGGGTGAAAATGAATTCTGATCATCAATACTTGCTCCAACATGGGAATTAAACAAGATGTGGGGTTAGTTGGGAGATGTGATTGGTTAGTGGTTGGCAAGATTCACTTATAATATCGATAATTGTGATGTGATAGAGGATTTAATTTTGTAGTGTTATAGTTGAATGCGACTCAATTATGGTAGTGAAATGACTTACGCTGTGGGTGATGCTTTGAGAGGTCCTATGACCAATATATGGCGGAGATCTGTAGACAGATATTTAGATGACCAAGAGTTATTGATGTGCTTGTTAAAGCATTCATTAGTTTGCTCATGAGTTTGTGTGATTGGTCATTCTCCTCTTGTGGATTTTCATAAACTTCTTGTAGACAACTACCTAGGTATCCCTCAACCTAGGCGTGTATCATGCATGCATGTCATATATGATATGTTCATTAGGTGTTGCCTTCCTTTTGATTAAAAGAGAAATTAAAATCTTGTAATTTAGAACAAATTGTTATTAAACAAGGGAGAAAGGGTCAAATATGCATCTAAACATTATTCAAGATGTCAATTAGACCCTAAACTTTCAAAGGTTGCAATTAAACCCTTAAACATATTATTTTAGAGCATTATATTGAGGCTCAAATACCGGTTGATGACCTATAATTACAGGTCACTAGGGTTCCGACGAACCTCTGACAAGATTCCAACCATATTTCGACAAAAAACACCAGCGAAATGGTGGCCGGTGTCATTTGGTTGCCTTCTCCTTCATTGGAGAAGGCAACCCATCTGGTCGCCTTCTCCTTTGCCGGAGAAGGCGACCATATGGGTTGTCTTCTCCTTCGTTGGAAAAGGCAACCAAACGACACTGGGAATAGTTTCGTCGGTGTTTTTTGTCAGAATAATCGAAATCTCGTTAGAGATTCGCTGGAATTCTAGTGACCTGTAATTATAAGTCACCAATCGATTTTTGGGTCTCAATGCTTTAAAATAACATGTTTAAGGGCTTAATTGAAACTTTTAAAAGTTTAAGTGCCTAACTGACTTCTTAAGTAATGTTTAGGGACTTATTTGACCATTTTCCCTTGAACAAGTGATATTAAGCATGTAATTTAAGTCTGATGACTTTATAATAAATACCCTTCAATTTGTATATTTAGGACTTATGAGATTGCAATATGTTCCACCAATACTTAGAACCACGCATGCATAACTTAGCATTATTAATTTGTATTAATAATTCAGCCTTAATTATAATTGGTGCAAAAAATTTATTGATAAAGATAACGATTAAATTCAAGAAAAGCAAATATAATACACCCTTTTAACACCACCAAAATTTAATTCATTGATGACCAATATAATATTCATGCAACAACATATATTAATATCAGATTACAAGATGAAATACAAGATTTATTGCGCGCTATTAAACTTATTAGGAAGGAAAATAGAAATAAGCTAGAATTAGTACGTTGTATGAAAATACAATACAAATGGTACTATATATCTAGAAATGGAAAGCACCGGCGGTGTAGCCTCCATCAATTTGGACAACCTGACCGGTGATGTGGGAAGCAGCCGGCAGGCAAAAAAATGCCACCAACGGCGATATCTCGTCGGCTTCTGCCAACGGCTTCACTGGAGTTCTCATCATAATTGGACCAAACATTGCCTGTATTGCCGGATCAATGTCTTCCTGCAAATTAAATTAATACCAAATTTATATACTTTGATTACTATATATGTAACAGATGATGATACGAAATTAATTAATTTTTTACTGTATGTAAGAGCTGAGGATCAAGTCTTACAGGCTTCATGATTGTGGTTTTGACGGCCCAGGGTGAAACCGTGTTGACTCGGATGCCATCCTTTGCCCATTCACATGCCAGATTCTTGGTCAACTGGTTTATAGCAGCTGAAATATTTATAATTATTATATTACTCTGATCAGATCTGTATTAATTTTACAGTTTACTCGAACTGAGCTTTAAATAGACCTCCAGAATTATTATATTTGTTTTACCTTTAGAGCTTCCATAAATGGAGAGGGCAGGCAATGCAGTGGCGCCAGCCATAGAGGAGATGAAAACAATGCTTGCGTTTCCAGATGCCTTGAGGAGGGGGTAAGACAGTTGTGCCAAGTGGTATGGTGACTCAAAATTTGTTTGAATAATGTTTGAAAATTCCTCGGGATTATAATCGTTCGCTTTCCTCATCTTACTAATTGCTGCATTGTTCACCTGACAAATAAAAACGAGTTATAATTAATAGTGATAAAGATACCGAGTGCCATAAGTTGCCAAACTTGCATCAATCAAGAACATGTTGCTTGATTGATACCAGATCGAGTTGTGTCGGTAAAACCCAACAAATTCAGCTGTTTGATTGGTATGTAGAGTGAGATTGTTGGTCGTAGGTAGTACCCATTTCCCGCAGGTTGCTTTTTTTCTTTCCATGTCCAATTTTGGAGTGGCCCCACTTCTCTCGTTTTTTTCTCTAATTACTCGCTAAATAAGGATTATATGCATAATAATCTATAATCTGCCGGCAGATAAAGATTCCTTAATCCTTGTTCACACTATTCCAGCTACTTTTTTTTTTTTTTTTTTTTTTCCTGTTTCTCCACGAATGTAATTATTATCTTCCACTAATAATAATGTTTGAAAATCTGGTCACCCCATGATGCATACTTCCTAATCAAACAGTAATCTCGATTCCAAAACCAAGAAAAGAAAAGAAAAGAAAAGAAAAAGAAAGCCCACAAAGGGGGGATCTTAGCTTGAATCCCATGAACTTACAAGGATGTTAAGCTTGCCATTGAAGACAGAGGAGACGGCCTCGATGAGCTCCACCCTCTGTTCCCTGGACGACAGGTCACAAACGGAGCCGGTGACTTTGAAGCCTTTTGCCTGCCATTCCCGGACCTTTTCGTCGAGCTCCGTCTGATTCCGGGAGCACGTGTGGACTGCGGCTCCGAATCCGGCCAGTTCCTCGACTATAGCAGCCCTGAGATGATTGCGGTTGCAGTAATTAGGGTTGGTAGTGTCTCAAAAGTCAAAACTATAAAGAGATTTGGTTATATAATTCCCTAAAATCTGATGGAGGTGGGTTTAGAGTTGACTCACCCTATGCCTCTGGTTCCGCCGGAAACCAGAGCCGTCTTCCCCTGAAGAGACCATCTTGAGTTCCTCTGGTTGCACTGCTCTCCTTCACCAGACATGTCTGACCTTCTGTACAAGTGGTGTTTGTTCTTGAAGAGTTGAAGTAGAATACAGTCAGAGTAGGATGGCTACTTTACTGCTCTTGTTTGGAGATTGGTACAAGGATACCTCATATTTATAGGCCAATTTTTTCAAAAGTATAATTCCTAGTCATATGCCTAATATTTTATCCAAAAAATTACATTTTTTTTCTCAAATATTACATTTTTTTCCCGATAAAAATCAATCAATTTACCAATTATTAGTATTACATTTTTTTTATAAGTAACTGTTTAACAGCTAAATATTATATTTTCATTTTTATTTAACCTATAATGTGGATAAGAATTTGTGAGGTTTCATAGAAGATTCTTCCAAATATAAAATAATATTAATATTTAGCATTTTGGATTTAAAAACTGCGAGAGACTTGTGATCTACGAATTGCGGTTGGGTGGAAGTCAATGAAGTTTGAGGTGACTGATAAAATCATGGGACTAGAGAGTTTCATTGAGAATCGACGGTTGCTAATGGTCAAAGTTTAGTTTTTTATTTTATTTTATTTGTTTTAGTCTCCCCTTTCTAGAATTTGGCCAGGTCAAGATCGTATTAGTATTTGTATTTTGAATTATGGAGCGTTCTTCCCTCTTTTCAAATCATATTTTATGATCACGCAATAGACGGATTTTATAGCATGACTACTGAGTACTAATTAATACTCCGTATTAAAAAAATATAATTATCATTGCCAGCCAAATTATGAATGAATTAAAAAAAAAAATTCTTACCCTAAAGTATTCACATCTAAGCAATACAGAAATTATGAATGAATTAAATTACAGTATTTTGCGACTATTTTGATTAAAGAACTAATACGTTGTATTCACAAAAAGTTAACACCTCCCCCAATACTCCTCTCAAAAGAGGATAAAACACCTTTACATTGCAACAATCAAGATTCAATCATATATTCTTAAAGGCAATTCACCACGGCACCACCCAATAACCATTTTCGGGCAAATCTAACAGTTGATTTGGACTTTAGAAATTCTTTGCCTTCATGCAACAACCAATTAATAAACTTTTGGATTACTTACTAACAAAAATATTAATACTCTGCATTATATTCTTCCCAAAAGTTTGAATTTTCAACTCTAAGGGTCCTCTACACCCTGACCTGACAGACTATTTGAAAAGATGTAAATCATAGTAACTCAACTGAATCACGGAAACTAGACATTTGCTTACTGCGCATAAGGAGCCCCCTCACTTTGAGTGGTTGCTCCCACACTGCCACTGGTGTACTCTACATTATATTATTTATATAAGTTCATGTCAGATCATGTTTCATCATATGCATTTTTTTTTAATGGAGTTAAATCCGGCCACCGCCAGAGATCCATTGTCTTTGGTGGTAATTCAAAATTTAGTGTCAGACTATCATTTTTGCCATTTAACATCTGAACTATTATTTTTTGAACACTTTTAAGCCTTCTCATGACTTTTCTTATTTTTAGTAAATGCAATTGCTCTTTTGTTATTTTTTTTTTCAGTTTCAACCGGTGTAATTGGTTTAAAACTTTAGGTAACCTCTAATTTTTAGTAACTATATTTTTCAACCGATTTATAGTAAAGTCCTAAACTAATTAAACCGATTGAAACCGGAAAAATAACAAAAGAAAAATATAAAGTGATAAAAATGCCCTTACTAAAGATAGGAAAAGTCATGAGAAGAACTAAAAGTGTCTAAAAATAATAGTCTGTGATGTTAAATGACAAAAACGATAGTCTGAGACTAAATTTGAAATTACCACCAAAGACAAATGACTTTTGGTGGAATTAACTTTTTTTAAGGGGGTGTTTGATTCAAGTTATATAAAATAACTAATATTATATTTGCTTGAGAATATAAGATTCTCATGTTTGGTGTATAAAGTTTTTAGCTATTGGAAGGGAATATGAAATACCCTCCAATTTCTTATGTATTCTAATATTCCCTTATCTTATTACTAATTTTGAACTTTTGACATTTTAATAAATTTATCTTATTACCGTTACCTTATTTACATACTTCAATTTTAAACTAAACACATGAATTTAACATTTGTAGTTATCTAATATTTTGTGAACCGTACCAAAGGCCCCTTAAATGCATAAAAAGATTGTGCATTAAAATTTCATTTGAGTTTTTGCATCATCAGTAGTAGTGGTATTATTATTATTTAGTAAAATGCTCTTTTTTTTCAGACTTTTTTGCATTTTCATTTCGTACTCTACATATAAATAATGTTTGGTCTCTTTATTCATTCATACACCTTTAATGGTGAAAGTGTCTTGGGGGCAAGCTCTACACACTCACTTTTAATCATCGATCTATCTTTATAATACACACAAGAACTAATTATACTCTTTTTTTTTCTTAATGCAAGATTTAAAACACTAAAATGGTGTGTTTATGGGAATCGGAATCGGAATCGAAATAGGAATCAAATATTTAATAATTGAAATAAGTTTTGATGAGACTATTTTGCATGTTTGGTAGTAAAGGGGAATTGAAATGATTATCATTATTGATGTTTGGTTACGTATGACCCTATAATCAGAATACAGATTTTTAAAATACAAAATAAAAAATAAAAAATCAAAGCAATATAATTGATCTTAATAGTGGTGATGAGGTGAGTATGCAATGCAATGAGGAAGTCAATGAAGTGAGGAGGCGATGAAATGATGAGTGATAAGGTTGAATTAATGGAATGATACCTGATTTCAATTAGGTAATGAGTTTTGTAATTATAAGTAGGGGTAGTGGACAATTCGGTTTGGTAATATACCGAACAATCGAACGGTATTGAGTTCTTGTATACCGATCTTTTACCGAACTAAACAAAATACCGTTCGGATTTTTCTTCCTTTTTGTTTTTATAAATAAGGAATAAAGGTCAAATAGGCCATCGAACTACACACGATAATGCAATTAGGCCACTGAACCTAAAAAATCAACAATTAGGTCCCTAAACTAACCAATTTCAAACAATTCTTCCAATTTGAAAGTTTCCAACAGGTCAACATGTCGTCCCCCAAATTAATTATTTTTTAAAAAATAAATTTTAAAAATTAATTATTAATTTTTTTTTAAAAGGACTCCGACCGCCGTGGAAACGAAGAGTTTCTTCGTCGGAGGTGGTGGTGGCCTCAACCATCGCCGGAGGGCAGGGGTGGCTTCCATCAACGTATCCAAGGAGCCCTTGGCCTCGGAGGAATGGGATCAACTGGATGCGCCAGAACAGGTAGTTGTGTGCCGTGAGCTTGATGGAGACGAAGTGGTGAGCAGAGGTTAAGGGATTTGGGTGGGTGGTTGTTGGGTGGCCGACGACGTGCGTTCGGAGGAGCTGATTGACATCATTGGTTTTTGGGAGAGAATCGGAGGAGCTTATTGACATCATTGGTTTTTGGGAGAGAAAGTATTGGAAAAGGATTGGGAAACCTACGGCTTGCTGATACCAAATGAATGATGTGTCTAGAATTCAAATTGTAAAAGATAATTACAATTATAATATACTAATACAACTAAACTAACGTAACTTAGCCCTATAGACTAGGATTACAATTAACAACTTCATAATATATCTCATAGTCAATAAGCCACTCAACTTTATCCAAAAAGTCAATTAGGTCATTAAACTTTTAGAAGTTGCAATTAAACCCACAAACATATTATTTTGGAGCAATGAAACTCACTAAACTGTTGGTGACCTGTAATTGCAAGTCAATTAGGTTCTAGCCAACTTCAACGAACGTTCGACAATTATTTGACCAAATTCCGACAAAGAAAAAAAAAAAACAAATATCAGCAATTGACCGAATGCGTTTTGTCTGAGAAGGCGATCAAGTTGGTCACCTTCTTCAGTTGCGCCTTTTTGCATTTGGATTATTGACATTCTATTCTCTTAGAATTTTGATGTGCCAACAAATTTATTAACTATACATTTTCAATGAATAATCTATATAAATATATTTGATAATTGAGGAGTTTGTAATTCGGCTATGATTGGAAAAGAATCACAGCATGGCCCATAACATAAAATTTGTGCGTTTTAGATTCACCTTAAAATTCCTATTTCTATTACTTTTTTACTTTATGCCCTTCTAGAATGTAATAATTTTCCTTGGTAGAAATGTATAATTCAAGATCTTTAACATCAACTTGCACTAGAAGATATTATAGTGTAATGACCACATTTGTAGGTAGTTACAATTACACTAGAAATTAAACATGTTTGATAACATAATTAGTTTATTAGTCAATTTTTGGTTTATTTGACCACTATTACATATTTGATTTGGTTAAATAGTCAATATAAGTGTTTGATTAAATAGCTTTTGTAACAATTTATTGCTCTCATATACTAAAACTTAAAAAGTTATTTTGAGTAGCTTTTTCAATAAACTTTTTGAGAAAGTCATTTTGCATGTAATCAACTATCAACTGACATCTAATTTACCAAATATTTTTCTACAATCAACTAATACTATTAACTAGTCAAACTCACTAACTCAATCAACTAACAACTACTTACCAAACACCACCTCTATGATTTTCAAAAAAAAAAAAAAAAAAAAAAAAAAAAAAAAAACACTACCTCTATGAGTAGTGGCCGGCAATGTATGATTTTAGCTAGTTATTATATAAATTTTCTATTCCCTTCTCTGTCTTATTTTCTTTTACGGGGCGTTGGTTGGAAGGAATGAATTATGGGGGAAAGGAATTGTAATTCGTTGGAAATAAAATAGGAATTCAGATTACGTTGTTTGGTAGGGAGAAATAGAATTATTGGAATTGAGAAGGAAATAAGTGGTATAAAGACTAAAATACCCTTATGTAATAATAATAGTAATAACAACCAAGATAGTAATGTCATTTTATATCTTTTTCCTTTCTCAAATTCATTAAATTGCAATTCATGAGGATACCCCATAAATTGCAATTCAACAAAAGAAAGGAATTACAATTCTCTCTAACCAAACAATATAATTAATCACCATTATATTGTTTCAAAAAAATAATAATTTAATCTCCATTATATGAAATCCAACCAAATGATTCAATATTTGAAGCCGTAAATTA